GAGAATTAATTGTATTTTGCTTTGAAGTTTTCTCTGCTATTGTATATATGTTACTAGAGTTTATGACCAATAGATGTACCGGTATCATTGATCCTCATTCAACTTGCTTTCCAGAGGGGTTACATGATTCTGCCATGAATACTTGCAATGATCTTATATGATCACCGCTAAACCAGGCAATGATCAAAATAAACTATAATTCACTTATAATTTTTGTTAGCAATATATTTTTTTATTTTAAAAAAGCTTTAAAATAGTCCCTACTGGCATATTCAATGTAAATTGCTCACAAGTTGTAAAACAATGCAAGAATTAGAAGCTCATTTTCTGCTACAAATGAAGTAATGGTTATAGGTTAAAGGGGCAGGACAAGGGACATTGAAACCATTCATTCTAAATTACAGTATTCCTCTTCTGAAAAGAATGAAGACTACAAAATATAACACGTTTATTAATCTGGACAGCCTGCAAGTAAGAGTTAGGGAAATGACTGTTTAAGCAGAAGCAGAAGTTCTGTGGAGCATCCGTCGAGCTGGGCAGTGAGTCCTTCTCCCTCCACCTGTACTGGCTGCAGGAGCAACTGTTGGTGTAAGGTGGTGCTATATGTGCTATACCTTAAATTGTACTTGTAGGCTTCCGGTGTCCAGTGCTTCTCCTTAGGCGACAGGCTAGCCAGGGCAGCATGATTTTTTTGAAAACTGGTGCTGCATTCAAACACATGAATGCTGCCCTCCTATTTTTATTGAAGTGACTGTTAGCACTTTTCTGTCTTTCAAAGGCCCAAGCAAAGCTAAAATGCTTCGTACAGCAAGAGAGAGACTTGTCTCAGAGATCCTGCACACTGAGAGCATTCCTTAGTACTTTTACATGGTCTTGGTTTGTCCTTCCCTTGCCTCTGGCCATGCCTGCCTCTTCCTTGGCCCATCCGTTAGCCAGCCACTGTCTGTATCCTGGTAAGGATCAACCGTGCTTAATCCTGCCGGTGGGAGACAGGGATGCTGGAGGTCAAGGAGTGAATTCTTCCTTTTCCAGATGTTACGTGGGATGTCTTCATTCCAGAGCTATTTGTAGGCTACGTGGGCACTTATCTTTCTAAGGAGATAATCTCCTTTTTAATATTTTGGGTTTCTGGTTGATTATTTTGTTCATAGCAATGACATCATAACCAAAGCACTGAAGGTTAACTAACGAGCAAGCTCTTTTTTATTAACTTTCTGGTTCAATTGTACTTTTATCCCTCAATAATTCTCTTTTTTCATCTATGGGAATGAATTTACGCTGGTGTGAGCTGAATGCTGTCACTTACACCATCATAACTCACACCAAATCAGACCGGGTAATTCTAAGTGAGCACAACCCTGGGGAATGGCAGAGGGGTATGCTAGAGCTTGCTGCAGGTAGTATGCATGTGGTAGGCAACAGCTTGGTCCTGTCATTTTAAATTTTCCATAGATGTAAAAACACAATGATAAATTTTATACACATTATGAAGTAAATCTCCACCTGACATCATTAAGAAGTCAAGGAAGATATCTGTCTTCCAGCTGAGGACATGTCTCTCTGAGTTTTGTGCCTTCCTCACTGATCTGGGGTTCAGGCTTGGGCTGACAGGTGTTTCTGATCGCTGCAGGAGCCCTGGGATCTCTGTAGAGCAGCTGCTGTTGTTTTGGAAGCAGCCAGGTTTTTTCATCCCCCTCCCCTACCTGAATGGCATCCGATGTCAGAGTCCAAAGGAATATTTTTAAATGATGAACTAGATTCAGGTTTTCTTGGGGATACTGATTTGGGTAACAAATCTGTGTAATCTTGGCAGGCCTTCTGCCTCTTTGTTTGCATTTCACATAATCTACAAAATGAGTTTACTGACCAAAATGTTTCCTAAAAACAGTGATTTCTTATGAATACTGGAATTCATGGAAACATGTCAACGAATGGCTTGAAATACCAGAGGAAATTTTGAAGTGTCAAAGGATATCTCAGGAAATCTTGAAGTACCCAAAGACAGTGCCCACAGAGAAAGAGATACTGCAATCATACTACTGTTTATTTACTGGAAACAATCTTTCAGCTCTACTGTAAAAAATAATACATATCTGTTTACATTTATACCACTGACACTGAGATTCAAGACTTAAAATAAAACTGGGCTAAATCCAGACCTGATGTAAGGTGGTTAGTGATCACTGACTTCAGCATAGTGGTGATCACATTGCATTCTTTCTGACTGGGCCAAATACTCTGTTTGCAACCTGGGAAAACCTCATCCAAGGTGTGAAAAGCCTAAGGATGTATTGCATAAGCATGTCCTTATCAGGCTTCTTAAAAAGCCTTGAGATTATCAAGCCAGTATGATATAGATGCAATTTCAGGAGAACAGTGATTCATGAGGACCTAAAAGAGCATCTATCGCCTTCCAAACTGGGGGGTTGTGGGGTTTTTTTTAATCCTCTTCATGAAGCCAGGCTCTGCCAGCAGGCTGGGCAATCCCTTCAGCCATTCAGACCTAGTATTTTGCTGTAAGGGTGCCTAACGACATTGCAGAGGGAGGGGGGTACAAAAGCAGCAGATGGGCCAATAGCAGTGCCTGCATTTTCAGTGAAACACATGAAGAGCTTTTTGTACAGATGGTGGGTGCAGAGGAACCTGGCAGGGAAATAACGGATCTGCCTTGGCTATGAGAAAAGCAACTGAGGTCAGTCAGAGCCTAGAAGAGACACATAGCCTACAACTGATCTCCGAAAAGCAAAGTGAAACATGTTACGTAGTGCCAGAGGAGAAGTGGAGCTCACTCAGCATGTGCTTGCAGTGCATGACCATAATGAGATCACTTGTCCAGGACAAACTCAAAAGAGAGAATGAGCGACTTCTGGGATGCAGGAGGGAATTGAAAGAGATTGAATCTTTCAGGAATTTTTGTTTGCTGAAGTGTTTTCTAAAGATCCCTTTGCTACCCAGCTACATTCCTCAATTCTTACGTCAAGGTTACTGTATCATTATTCACTTGCTGGTGCAAAAGTGTATCTGCCTTGTACCCAAACTATCCCTCGTGTCACTTCATCAATATTAGTTGAGTTACACAGGGGGATCAGTTTGGCCAATGGAAACCACCAGGGGGATCTCAGAAGTTTGAACTAAGAACTGGAATAGGTGAGATTTCCACCTCTGATGTGCACACTTATAAACATCAGATGCACTCTGCACTGAAACGGGTGAGGAAAGAGGCAGCTGCAGGACCAGAGGCACCCCCGCACAAATACCTCTGGACCATTACACTCCCTACAGCACTGACCCTTCAGCACAGGTCACCTTTCTGGGCAGGCTTTCTGCGGAATCCCCAAAAGTCTAGTTATGACCATCAGCCTCAGTCTTCATGCATGGCACCTACTTTGGGGTTGAGCTATTCAGAATTCATTCAAAGAAACAACCAAATGTGATGGGTGTAAATCACTTGTCTGCACTCATCTCGGATGAGGAAACACAATTTGCTTGTGCTGTGTTATCTTACAACTTTTTGACTTCCAAATGCAGAGCCACACTACCACAACTAGTTTTAGCTTCTGTAAATTCTCCTTGTATACAGATACATGCACAATGCGTTACACACATACAGGGAAGATCCTAAGGGTACTTTTTATCTTTCCATTAAAAAGCAGCAGTCATGCAAATTAACACCAGCTGAGGGTTTTGTCCATCCAGGATAGAGATTTATTTTAACAATAGTCAGGCTTGAATAACGTTAGGGCATACTTTTATTTCTTTTTTTTTTTTTTTAACATCTTTGTGCTATGAAATTTTCATTGGGTTCTAATACAGCTACATGCTACGGAAGATATTCAGTAGCATATTCTGTGAATAAGCTAGACTGGAGAACTTGAATGATTACAAACTGTACTGATTCTATTGTTCTGCTTGCTCTAGACAGAGAAAAATGAATGTGTAAGTTCTGCTGATGCTGATACCATGTTTATGAGACAATGAAAGTTGACTCTTCTAAAAGCTGAGCCAAAAAAAGGTAAATATGAGTACAGGCCCCCAGTGTGAAAAGGAGAAAGCTCTGTGTGAGTGGCCCTGGACACTACACTCAGTGATGGTGGGTGACCAGGTACTCAAAGTAGCTCAGTTATTCTCAACAAAGTTATTGTTGTCAGAGAAGTACAAGTTGAAAAGCGATTCTGTGGGATCCAACAAACTCTTAGGTAAAATAACATTTTGTTGTCTGTGTCAAAAAAAGTCAATCCCCTAAAAATATCTCAAAGTCAAATAAGCCAGATGATAGGACCCATTCAGCTCTACAGCACTGGATCATTCATCTCTTGCCATTCTTCTCCCTCCCGACTAGCATGAATCACTTGATTCATTTATCAGAATAGATTCTGCTTCCCAATCATTGTGATCTGTATCAAAGATTACTGCCATTTCTGCTTTTGTTTACTTTTATTCCAATTATTGCACTGGCAATAGGTGCTATACGAACACATAGTGAGAGGCAATCTTTCTCCCGAGAACCTTCGGTCAAACAGACATGACAGCCGATAGGCAGGAGAGGCAAAGAGCTGTCCCTCCCAGCTTGGCCAGGGAACGGCTCTGCCACCCTGAGCGAAGAGCATGTCAGAGCAGAGCCAGAGGGAAGCCACACATACCCAGACCAGGGTCAGTGCCCTCATCTGGTGCTGGCCAGAATACTGTCTATTAACCACATGGTAAAAGTCTTTGTGTTAGAAAATCCTCGGCAACAGGTTAGAATAAAGAATCATTTTCTGAGCAGACCTGGAATTCTGTCTGCTTTTAGGGAGGCCCAGCCTCAAAGGAGAACATGAATGTATACAGCAGTTGCAAGTTTGCGTTTTTAACTTTCATGCTGTAAAAACCTGACATGCATAGTCCTTTTTTTTATTTGGTGAGAATTGCTGTAATATACGAGCCTGCAATGGTCTATTGGAAACAGACCCCTGACTAGGCAATGGAGAGTTTAGATGTTATAAACTGCTAGTAATTTATTATTTTGAAATTGGCATATATTTTGGCAAAGTTAAAGTTGGCTGGAGTGATAGTGAGTGATGAAAGATGTTATGGCGGTGGATAAGTGCCTGAATTCCTTTGTTTCCAGACTTTTCACTTTTTTTTTAAGGCGCAGAATGTTTATATAGAAAGTGTAATATTGTTTTATGAGTATTTGCTGGACCCTGCTAAAACCAAGCATTCAAGCCTTACTCTTTTAACAAAGTGTTTTGTTATGGAATTCCTCTGGGTTTTGATGTTTCTAAATTAGGGTTAAATCAGGTTGGTATGTGGGGGCCATGGGAGAACAGCCCAGAAGTGAGAAACTGTCTGATGTCTAACAGGGTGCACTTCCTCTCCAGAAGGTGATGTGATGGCAGGAAGAGAGAGGTCTCCTCAATTGGGCATGAAGAAGCCATAACATATGGGCACAAAAGGGGGAAAAGGGGGCTTTTAAGCACTGGGAAAACTTCCAGCATGTTAAGAGTTTAACGTCTTTAATGCAAGACCTTGCCTGCCCCTTGTCTGCTCTCTGGGCCACCAGAGCCTGCTTGTTTCCCACATCTCACTTCCATCATCTGGGACACATGAGCACTTTTAGACCCATGGTTATAAACTAGCATTCCTCCTTCCTGGTCATCTCTATTTTCCCCTCCAAGACTATGGTATACGATGAGCCATGATACACTCAGGAAACACATTCTTGTTTCTAATATTTCTCTGCACATTTCCTCTACATTTATCTCCTCCAAGTCAGCTACTCACAAAACTCATTGGCTTCCTGCCCTCAGCTTGGCCCACTAAACCCTGGAGTCAGGCTTCAGGCTTTTTGTTTTTACAAAAAGGACAGCCTGTGTACAGAGCTCTGAGCCACAGGATCCCAGGATGTTGTAGCAGCACGGAGAAAACTTTAAACCATTAAGAAATGGAAGCTGCTGAAGCACACTCAACTCAGCATTTTGTGGCTGTGAGCCATTGCATCAGGGCTTCCTTCAAGCTGAATACAAGTAAAAAGAGCAGAGTCTCTACTAAAGCTAAGGAAGAACAACTCCAGACTAATTCACAAAGCTTATTAGGAACAAGAAAGTCAATTTTCTGATTGTGTCATGTGGTCTGTGTTGTGATAACTTTCTGAGTCTGTATTCTCCCATTTAATACTCCACTTTAATGAAGACCTCACGTAATGCTTCTACTCTGCTTCAGCCTGCTCGCATTATAATCTTCATAAACTCCTTTTCCCAAGTAGCATTAAGCACTTCCAGTCCTCAAAAAGATGAAGCAAAGGTTATCTTTCCTGCCCTAGTGATGCCGGAGAGCAAATGAGCCAATAAGGAAAAAGCAGGGGGCAGAAGCAAAAGAGCTTGTTTCAGAGAAATTTAAGAACAAGGCATATGAACCCTCATCCCTACTAAAATAAAAGACCAAACTGCCAGTGGCTTCAACAAGGTAAGCATTATACTTCCAAACTCTACAATGATTTTTATTTTTTTTTCAGACTCCTAAACATATATATAGATTTAGCGTAGCACTGTGAGGCCTCCGCTGGAATACTTTTCACAGTTTTGGGCACTGCACTTCAAGAAAGACGTGAACCAACTGGAGAGAATCCAGACGAGAGCAACAAGAATGATCAAAGGTCCAGAAAATGTGATGTATGAGGAAAGACCAAAAGAATTGGGTTTGTTTAGACTAGAGAGAAACAGTCTGAGGGGAGACGTGACAACAGTCTTCAGACATGTTAAAGACTGCTGCAAAGGGGAAGATAAACTGTTCTCTATTTCTACTGGAAGTAGGCTAAAAAGCAATGGATTTAAATTACAATAGCGGAGATTCAGATTAGACTTTAGGAGAAACTTTCTATTGGTTACAGCAGTTATACCTGAGAAGACATTGCCTACGGAAACTGTGGGATCCCATCATTTGAGGTCTGGGTACTGGTATAGTGGTGTCTGCTTTGTGGCAGAGGCATGAACAGTAAGACTGGTCCAAGTACTTTCAGCTTATTTTCCCCAATATTAGGAATGTAGGAGAGAGACTGCACGTGAACAGAACAATTTTTCTGAAGGAATTTGGACGGGTCTGAGCTGAGCAGTCCTTGAACAGGAGATTAGTTGCAGCCTTAATTACAGTTAGTATCACTGCCTTATAACCATTACAAATTGTTTGCAACTACCACACTCAGGAAAACAGGGAAAAATAAAGTTCTGATTCTCATCTGCTCTAAAGTCCCTGGACGCTATTCTAGCAGTGGAGGCCTGTGTCAAAGAGTCTGGGTGTAAATAAGTGTAACACCCTAAACATTGTAAAACATACCAACCAGTGATAGATTTCTATGAACTCTGTTATATAGAAAGATTTAATACAGGAAGGAACCCAAACATGTGACACTTTGTTAGAAAGTAGAAGATTACATACTACAACATGTATTTTTGGAATGAATTTACAATGAATTTTAACTATAAAATAGAATCAAAGAAAAAACAGGTGAAACTAAGACAAATGCAGGGTGAATTGAGACAAAGTGCCTGACTGATAATTCCAGAGATAATTCAGAATGTAAGTTAGCACTTCTGAGATCCCTTGTTTCAATAGGTGGCTTTTTGTTTCTGTTTCTGCTTGTTTGTCTGCTTTCCATTTATAATGAAAAAGAAGGCAAGATTGCAAAAGCCAGCTTTTTCCTCAGTTTCTTTGGTGCTTTTTGCTAAGCAGCCTTGGAGCTACAAAGGTTCACAGTCTTTCAAACATAGACTCATACCCTAGAAGTGTTTACAATGGGAAGAAGAGTCCTTAAAATATATGACCACATACAGAATCATATGGGATCTGCTGACGATACATCTTCAGAAGTCTGCATCCTGGTAGGGACTGTGCATGAAGAGACCTCCCTCCTCAGACAGGCATAGGTCACCGGGTCTGTGGAAATACTGGTTTGGTTTAGAGCTGCTATACGTACTGGCTTCTGAGGAGAGAGTTCTGCAGAGGAGGAACCGTCTCTTTTGTTTTAATGTTTCCAGGGCACAAACTCAAGGTTTAGAAGGAGTACTGTGATACATATATCCTCAGCCGGATGACAGAGCTTCCTCTGAAGTTAATGACGGTGTTAACAGTGATCATTTCCAAGTCCAACTGAATAGTACGGGGCCCCTTCACGGGGCGGGTCATCACCAGAGTAGCACTGATCGGTCCTGTTTGCTGTGCACAAAACAAGAGGAAACAGGTGAGATTTTAAAAAACGGCTCTTGAAAACGATCATCTCAGGTGAGACAACATTATGGCCATGGTCCTTAGGCAGCCAAAATAACACTGTTTTCTGCTGTATTGTTAGATGCTACTGCAATTCACGGCAGAGAGCGCTTCATTTCAGCATTTGGCTCCATTTCAGTGTTTTGTATGAACTATCACCTTCTATAGTTTGTAAAGCTTTTGGGAGCCCTGCACATAAAAGGAGCTATTGAACATAGAAATTTGCTATTGTCCAAATGGAAAAAGATGAAAACATGGATTTAGGGTATGCACAAGCAGCGACACCAATTTTTTTGTGCATAAGATATTATTTTGTTTGATATAAAGAGCACTGTTACTTTGAAGGAGCAAACACCAAGAAGGGGTTATGTTAACAGAGCTTGGCGAACAGATGTTCCTATGTGAACAGGATCAGGGTTTGTTGTATAATTGCATATGTTAACGTTGCAAAACCTTACCCTCTGAAGAGAGCTTTAAATATATGAAGGCACTTCAGAAAAATCTGTCTTTTAGTAAGTGGAAGCAGACCTTTGAAATATCTGGCCAGAACAGTGGATTATGAGCATTTAAAAATCAGAGCTTCTGATGTTAAAACCAAGTGCAATTTGCTTTCCAGCAGAAACACAAAGCGGGACCTGTTTTCCCACGAAATGGAGCGTTTGCATTATCTCTGATCGGAGAAGCCTGACAAAGCCGTGAGGAGGAGCCGGGTGGGCCG